TACTGTCTTGTCTCCATTTCTTGCGTCTCTTGTCTCATCCAATTCCCACTCCCCTCTCCGGGTCTATGTTGCTGTTCCTGCAGGTCGGGACACAGAGGGACCCTCATCAGGTGCCCAGTGTAAAGGACGAGTGAAGGACGGTCAGCATGCATCCCTACCACTGCCCTAGGATGTGCCCCAGGGTTGGGGGTGCGCCATACACTCTGCCCTTCTGCCAAATACCTCGGGCAGTGCCTGGGCCCTACTCAGCACAGAGGGGAGCCTGCAGGAAGGAGGACCACCAGGGAGCTGGGACCAGTACCTGCAGGCTGTGGCCAATCCACCAGTAGAAAACAGTGAGGTTGGGGTTCAAGGGCAATAGCACAGCTGTGAGGTTCACCTCCTGGTTGATGCCAATGACAGGAACCACCTCCAGGTAGAGGGCCTGCAGAGGAGCTGCAGAGTCCCAAGAAGGCCAGGGTTACAGGATATTAGGGCATGGGACATTACACAGGCTGCTTATTGGTCACTGTTACCATCAACTTAATTGCTATCATGGCCACCACCACTACCATAAAACCCACACCACAACTACCACCATCATCACCACCACCACCATCATCACCATCATCACCACCACCATCACCACCATCATCACCACCACCACCATCATCACCATCATCACCACCACTGTCACCACCACCATCACCATCACACCATCATCACAATCACCACCACCATCACCACCATCATCACCACCACCATCACCATCACACCATCATCACAATCACCACCACCATCACCACCATCATCACCACTATCATCATCACCATCACCATCACTGTCATCACCATCATCACCACCACCATCACCACCATCATCACCACCACCATCATCACCATCATCATTGTCATCATCATCACCACCATCATCACCATCACCACTATCATCATCACTATCATCATCATCACCATCATCATCACTATCATCATCATCACCATCACCACCATCATCACCATCACCACCATCATCACCATCACCACCATCATCACCACCACCACCATCATCACCATCATCACCACCACTGTCACCACCACCATCACCATCACACCATCATCACAATCACCACCACCATCACCACCATCATCATCACTATCATCATCACCATCACCATCACCATCATCACCATCGTCATCACCGTCATCACCATCACCATCATCACTATCATCACCATCACCACCATCACCACCATCACCATCACCACCACCGTCACCACCATCATCACCACCATCATCACTATCATCATCACCACCATCATCACCACCACCATCACCATCATCACTATCATCATCACCATCATCATCACCATCACCATCATCACCATCACCACCATCATCATCACCATCACCATCATCACCATCATCACTATCACCACCATCACCACCATCACCATCACCACCACCGTCACCACCATCATCACCACCATCATCACTATCATCATCACCACCATCATCACCACCAT